TGTGTGAGCGCACGTAATTTTGTTTTGAGCCGTATCTTTCGATGCCTATTGACTCATTAACATGTGTGTACTTTTGTCTCCCCGTCGCTCTCCCTCTTTCTCTCCCTTCTTTGCTCTCTGATTCTCTCTTCTCTTACCCCTCCTCTCCCTCTCATCATCCTCTGACTCTAACAAAGCGGGTAAGTTGTGAGGATGTATAACTGACCTCCTGGATATGAAACATTGTCTCAGCCATTTTGCCCTGTCTGCCATCTCTTCCTGTCTGTCTGCCATCTCCCGAAAAGACCAGTGCCAAAGCTGACGTCTCTTTTCTATCTGTGTATCTATCTATCCTTCATGGCTGTTAACGACGCCATTGCGTTCTTTCTTTTCCTTTTTTTCGTTTACCATCTGAAGACGTTTCTTCCCCCCTTTTTACAGTTCAATGGCAGCTGCATCCATGGCTGGACAGAGAATGTGCCGCCGCTTAAACTGTGGTGCAATTTTTACACCCGGAATGTCTTCCTCTCCTGTATATGTGTCTCTATCTATCCGTGTGAAATAACCAGCTGTAATATCTGGTTATGGGAATGTCAAATTTTGTTTGTATGATTTGTCATAACTGTTTCCTTAATTCCCTTTCCCCAGCTATGTTCAGTGGATGTATTTCTCCATGCATTAGACCTGACCTGAACATAAAACATGAGCTATCTCCCCATGTGCTGCATAGATAAGACAGTGAATGTACCTGGTTGTGTTTTGGACCAATACATTTCCTCTGTATGACATGTATGCTGTGTTTAAGAGCCCTTTCACTGTACTGAGGCCTTCAACGCTCCGAGTGCTACATGTATCATGGTTATTACTGAGTCCACTCTTTCCATTCTTCAACAACACGCTCAGGGAATGTGTTGAAGAGATGTTGTTATGAAATGTGTTCACTAAATACAATAAGATTTCGTGTTTTGGTGTGTGGGTGTGAGTATGAGTGTGTTTCCTGGTCCCATGCTTGTCAGGCATTTTTTTTTTATAAGTCCTCAGTGTCTGGCAAAGTGTGGGAGGATTGAGCACAATACAAATCTCTCTGTGCATGGCAGACCAAGAGCATCTATTCAATGCTTTTTGTCGATACGTTGCGATTGACATCAATCTGAGGCTGCAGCGCCAAGAGAGGGAAAACCAAACGCAGCTCAGCCCTCTAAGGTTACACTTTCAACACCAGCTAAACAATACCAGACAATGCAAAGAAGTTACTAGTGAAAATATTCACTGTAGCACTGTGCCTTACAGCTGTATGAGTCAGTTGTATTTGCACTCAGAGAACATTAAAACTGTTATTTTGCCAAGGATGTAAAATCCATTAAATGTGTGACTTTATTTAAATCATTACACATTTTCAATATTTAATAACCCTTATAGCAGTGGTCAGGATAGAAGTGCCTAAAAGTAACAATGTGGCAGTGCTATTCACAGCAAAAACAATCACTTGTAATTGTGCTTATGACCTTAAGTCTAGCTATTATAATTACAATCTATTAAATAGATTAGTTGCTTCATTCAAAACAAAACAAAACTACCCTTTTGCACATACTAGCAGTTTTGTGTGTGTGTGCGTGTGTGCGTGTGTGTGTGTGTGTGTGTGTAGCTACAGTTGTGTGCCTGTCTGCCCAGGAAGCACAGAAATGAATGATAAAGAGTTGCCCTTTTCAACAGTCTTAGTGTACAGGCTGGACTAGGAGAGGAAATGTTTGAGTACTCTCCTCTCGTGTATTATATACACACACACACACACGCACGATTCTGTGACTGCAGGGATTTGTGAAAGCAGTGTGTGCAGGAGTGAGAGTTGAAGTTGTATCATATGTGTGTTTATTATTATGTAAAAGTACATGCCTTCATATAAGCACTCCTCTGTCCCCGCCCCCAGACACGAGCTGTTGGAGGAGGCCAGGAGAAAGGGTTTACCTTTTGCCCAATGGGACGGTCCCACAGTTGTAGCCTGGCTGGAGGTAAGATTTCTGAATGCAAATGGTTGATTTTTAATAAACCATTGCAAATATACTTAACTGCAATATACTAAAGGTAAATGTAAAGAAACAAAAATGTTTACTTTGCTTACTCTCAAGCTTGACTTGATTTCATTCCACTGATTAGATTTTAATTTTATTATCAGTTTTTATTTTGTTTGTGTATAGTTTACTTATTTCTGCATTGTCTTGCACAGTGGTCACTTTCAACATTTCAACTCTTTAGTTTCTATTTCTATTTCTTTTGTTTTATGTATTATATATATTTATTTTTGCATTGTTGGAAGAGCCTGGAATTTCAGATTTTCATTCCCTAAACTACACTGTAGCTTTTGCCTAGATCTATTGTGACTAATCGTATAAAGGTCTAACCCCATTTAAAAAAAAATCGGTATAATAACTAGTTACTAAAATGTTCACAAATCAAAACAACACCTTTACAATTGATGATAAATCATTGCAGTTAACTCAACTCCCCTGATATATTTGGATAAACTGAACACATGGGAATCCATAGTCCAAAAGGGAATGTATAGAAACTGCACTGCCCCCTGATGTTCAGTGGATGATTTACAGCCAGCAGTCCATTGATGACTCCACCAATCCCTAATGTTGCAGTTATTGATGGAGTTCAATTGGATTAGTGGGGCTGATAATTAGCCAAAAATACAAATATTGTGCCACTGTTAAAAAAGGAGATGTGCTTTTTATTGTCAGAGTTTATAGATTTGTATATTTTCTACTTTTGAATGCTGCTTTAGTTCTATATTGAGATGCTTAAATTCTAATATTGTTCATTTCTACTACTGATGTGCAATGCCTTGTTTTGTTGTTTTTTATGCTGCTGCAACGCAAACATTTCCCAAATGGGGATCAAATACCTCTTATCTTATCTTAATGATACATAACATATTCTTAGCACTATGGAAAATCCTGCAAACTGCATGTTGACTATGAGGAACTATATTTGCTACATTGATTCATATGTTGGTGAATTCAAATCTAATAGTTCCAGGGCACAGTAAATATAGGAGGAATATTTATCATGTTGAAGATATTTAAGATGGATAAACTCAATGCGTCAAACTCATCCTCCATCTCCTCTCTCTCGGAGTAAAGCTGTGGTTGGGGATGCCGGCCTGGTACGTGGCGGCGTGTCGAGCCAACGTGAAGAGTGGAGCCATCATGTCGGCGCTGTCTGACACGGAGATCCAGAGGGAGATCGGGATCAGTAACCCACTGCACCGCCTCAAGCTGCGCCTGGCCATCCAGGAGATGGTCTCCCTCACCAGCCCCTCGGCCCCGCCCACCTCCAGAACCGTGAGTTGGACAGAAAACATGGAGACATGGACGCAGACTGGAATATTAGTTGTACAATAATTTGTTGTAGACGGAGCTGATCAGGAGGAGGATGTCATCTCATAATTTTGCGAAAGACTGGAAAACAGGGGCAGACAAACTGCAGTGAAGTTCACATCCAAGACACTTCAGAATTTACATTCAAATAATTATAGAAAATATTAAAAGCACTTAAATCCAATCCAGTGAAATGTGTCCTACTTATCCGGTGTAAAAGTTACATTATGCATTGGTTTGACATGACAGAGAAGCTGTTGAAAGAAAACAAGATCCTTTGGCAGAATTTTCTTTAAAATACCAATTTAAAATAGAATGGAACTCAAATCAAATGTATATAGTTTTGTCCTACTTTTCCATGAAATAATACTGCATTCATTCTGGGTCACATGATGTGAAACATTTTGAAAAAAGGCAAGACTTTTCTATAAAACCGCTGAATTTTCTTTTAAATATTTGTGTATAAAATAGATGTAGCATTAAATAACAATAACATTGATGTGTACCCTACTAAAACGATACAATGGTGCATTGATTTGAGTCCTGAGGTCACAATACATGCAAGCTTTTGAAATAAATGAGCCGTTTTAATAATAAAACTGCTGACCCTTTCACAGAAAAATTGATGTAAAAAAAGAAGGTGGACTAAATCCAATAAGAGGTGTGTAGTAATATAATGCTATATTGATTTAGAGTCACTGGGTCATATGACATAGTGTAAAACCAAACTATTTTTTTTTTATATATTCTAAGTGGTTATTAATGTCTAAATTAGTGATCTTTAGAGGTGCTGGTCAGTAGATATTGTAACATTCGGACAGAGCCAGATAAGCTGTTTCCAGCCTTAATGCTAAGCTAAGCTAACGGGCTTCTCGGTCCAGCTTCATATTGAACAGAACCATCAATTTCTCAGCGAATAATCACATTTAGCCTTGTTTAAAAATGAATGACATCATCTCTGCCTCCAGATCAGCTCTGACAAATGTTTGTATGACTAATAGTCCTTTCTGCTAACATGCATAATGCCTCCACACATGAGTGACATGTGCGTTGGCGCGCGACAAATGATTAGCAAACAGAGCCGTTGTCATTACACCCGGTGCATTTTAAATTATATAGTCTTTGTGAAAAACAAATGAATATTACAGTGGGAGTCAGCGACGGCCCTGTTTGTGTAACAGTGTGCTGTGATTTAACTCCAATATTTCTACACCACAGTCGCTTCCATAGCTCCCTGTTGTCATGGTAATTGCATGCGGTCTCTAAGGAAGATGCTGCTCCTTATGATAGTGACTGTTTACACTGCAGAGCAAGGACTAATGCACTCTCTACTGAGGGTACTCACACCATGCATAAGGACATGACAGGTTGTGCACCGCTGTATAAACCCAGCTGAGAGTATTTATTAAAGTTTGTGTGTTTAGTCTCTACACAACACTCTATGCATTGCATGCTGTAACTTATGAGCTCCTGCACTCTTTGTCTTCTCCTTTTGGGAAATAATACAAGCTAAACTCTTTTATACTCCCCCCTCTTCCTCGCCCATACCACTTAGCTCCACTTCCACACCTCATGAAACCTTCATTACGGAGCATGCAACACCACGCGTCCAATCACAAACTACTGTAACCGTCCTGTTAAACCCCCAACACTCTAAAGAGGGGGTTAATTGACCCTGTAAATATGCTGTGACGTGTATGCCAAGCAGGAAGTTGATGGAGGGGAAATAATTGGTCATTTTACTTATGCTATTACAACTGGATCCCCCTCGAACATGCAAAGGATGAGTGCCTGAATGTGACTGCACAGAATAAAGGGTTGGTTCACACAAATCACAAAAAAACATCATCTCAGATTCTTTTAGTGTTTCGTATAGGCAGCCATGCTGATTTTTTGTTATCTTCCTCCAATTCAATAAAATAGGAGCCACTGTCAAGTGTCAACTGTTTTCTACTGAAGAAATAGTCCCCAATTAAACTACTAACTGCATGTTATGTAAAACATGTTCTAACATAAGTCCCAGTTAGATTGCTTTAGTAATTAGCGAAAGAATATCAGGAAATAAGGGGAACAGAATTGATTTATAAATGTGTATTTAAGACATTGTAAGCTTTAATGACAAAAATAAATATACATGTTTTGGGGCATTTACTGGCCCACATCTCTTTTTTTCAATCCAAAATTAATAAATGTTGTGAAGCAAACTGGCAAAACATGTTTGTCTCTACCCTATGATGTGTTCCTGTTAACGGGCTTTTTTCACGAAACTGTGTCTCAGGGCTTCTTAAAATGTTATAAACTATGAATATGTCCTTCTCACTTAAAGAGCAACTTGCAGGTTAGACACCCCAGTGAATAAATGTGTAGGAAAATTATGTATGCACTAGATAAATATAAAAAAATATATATACATAAATATACACTACGTGACATCTGGCGTCGTTTTTGTAAGACATTTTTACTTCTTCTTCTACTTGTGACGTCACATGGGGGGAGAGCGGCCAGTCTAACGTATTAATAAACATGGTACACAATGCTAGTTTTGACACAGAAGAGGTTGAAAATGTATATTCGTATGCATATGACGGACCACAAACTTATAATTATGAGCCTGCTAGGCAGCCAAGAGACCAGGAGCAGCCAAGGATTAGAAGAAATAACGGCCATCGGAGAGAAATGGAGCTTTGGTGTGTGGAGAACCAGTGGAGAACTGGGCAGCTATCTTGGTGAGTGACCGGCGTTTGCTACAGTTAATGTTAGCTAACGTCACATCACAACATTGTGAAGTTAGCTATCATATATCAGGCTATAACTAAAGTAGCATTGATAATATAGTAACGTTACACACAGGACTGTTGATACTGATCCATAACAGAAACTAATGCGCAAGTATCAGCCGTATCTTGCGTCATCTAATGCAACTCCACACCACGTCTTACGGCGCTGTTTACCGGAGGGGAGAGAGAGAGGAGCGAAGGGGGGGAGAGAGAGGAACAAATGGGGGAGAGAGAGAGAGCAGCGAAGGGGGGGAGAGAGATGTAATACGGTTTCCTGATAAACATTTTGTTTGATAGGCTTCAGCTGTGGAGAGTATGTGCTGCAGGGAGGTGGATGCACCTCACACAACGCACCCAGGAACGAAAGCTAGCTCCGGTCCTTTTCCTGTTAGGGAAACTATGGACTCGATGTCCTGACAGGCTGGAGTTTGTGCAACTTGCACAAACACAAGCTCACCATGATTACAAATGGTGAAATGCAATGTAAACTGACC